ATCTGAGTTCTGCCTGAGTTCCGTAGTTTAGGTGGCAGGGCGAGAGGTTGTGATTTGTATCGAGTCTGATCCGCGACCAGTGTTAGAACTCATCAGCTTCCATTATTTCCCCGAATTATCAATTTGGGAAAATCGCATGTCCCCAGAGCTCGAAGGGTTAGTGCAAGGTTAGTGGCAGGAGCAGGTTGGGCGTTTAAGTAAGCACTGAAAGGATTGAATCTAGACGTGATTGTCATAGTTGTGATTGACAACCGACCGTAATCTCGAAACACGAGTGGACAGGAACCTTCATGCTAGTGACACGCTCTACCAACTGAGCCATATAGGAACAGGGTAGTCATGGCATTGGGGGGGGACAGCACCGCTACGGATTCCAGAGGCTCATCTAGGAACCACAAGTGCAATTTTAGCGTCCTCCAGTACCATATCATAGATGGAATCTGTATTACCGCAAAGGCATTCGGACAAAAGCATCCATCATCCATCCTCCGTCCAGTGTCACTGTGTTATGCCTATTTTTTGTGCGCCATTCTGGGACATGTCAATATCATCAGGACGTGCCTGAATACCTTTCTTGACCTTTTCAGCGTGGTCATAACGGGGGAACGACATTGATAGGCCCAAATCGGAAATGTGAAGCTGATCTGGAGATCCACGGTGAACGTGCGGACCCAACTAAAGCGATATGACTGCGAACAAAAAATCAGGTCAACGTCCAACAAAGGAAAAATGCGCATATCACGGACATAGATCCTTATAATGGTCTAGAGTATTCGATGGCCTGATTCTCCCACTTAATATGACTCCTTCTGTTGACCTTGCTGATGGTTGATGACATGCAACAACGCGGCTTTCTTAATAACGTAGAGCTACATGCCATGAGATGATAAATCGAAAGATTTATAGCAGATACACCTACCGTTGCCTTCGTTCCCGTCCCATAAAATCGAAACCGATACATTTGCAAGCCAATCGGGTTGATCCGGAGAGTTGGAGTTCGCGATACCCGCGTTGAAAGAACAATACACGCACCCTCATAGATTTCTTGCCAACTCCTCGACAGTCTTACTACGGGTAAATAATCTTGACAGCATCTGGCTCAAATGACTATGACTCGATGTGTTGCTGATATCGAATACTGAGCGCTTGAGCCCCGAACAAAGCGTAGAATGAAGACGGCCCTACCGGAGGAGATAGCGACAAAGCTTCGAGCATTTCCTGGTAGGTCATGTAACAAGTCGTGTATTTTATTCGTGACGCGTAGTAGGCATCAATTTCGACTGATGCTTCGAAGTTGTAGTGAGAGTAGGAGATGAAGGTCACGCACGTGGTCATGGCGCGATCACAAGTCAAAATCCCTTTTTGGATACGCACCCGGTTATCAAAGTGAATGAACGTGACCTCGCTTCGATACTATCGTTGCTTACATCAAGATGTTCTAACTTATCTAGACCATAAGATTGTACATCAGTCGCGTATCTATTTGCTAGGACCTACAACACGACGAAATTAACCAGTGCTGTCCTACCCTCTCCATCCGCCGTCCGAGATGCTGGTCCCAGCCTCAGGTTTCCCTTACGGCTCGACAGCGGCTGCTTTCTCACCTATACCTGTATGGCTTTCCGAGTCACCCTCTCCACCATCACTGCTATCTGTAGTAGGACAAACGATGTTTGCACTCGATAGCTTGTCTTGGGATGCTTGTTCACGTACCTCTTCTTATTATTCCTTCCAGCTCGGTCCGACTTCTATGATCATCGGGTCTCAACATCGTAATCAAGATTTAAAAAATATGAATGTGTTGGGAACTAAGGGATACCAAATCGAACGAGGTGACAGACCAAGTGAGAGCTTTCCCGCTTGTCTATGAATCCTTGATTGGCAAGCCTAAGAAGTGAAGGCTAATGAAGGGCACGGTTTCGAGGAAAGAGTGACGGAGTCTCCATTTTCTTCCTTCCCTGCGTAAAAGAAAGTGTGAACAAGGTAGATATACACGTCTTTTTAATTCTTGAGGGCGGGTAAACTCTTCTCGACCTGGAAGGAAAGAAGTCATTAACAATGAGAGACCACATTCGGGCCCCAAAGCAGCAATCCATTACAATTAGAGCGGGCCCTCGAATTGAACGAAGAGGGTACTTCCATGCTTGGACAACGGCTCTAACCAGCAGTATACGATTTTACACGCTGGGCTGTGTAGTGTTTCCTAATTGCGATAAGTGAGTTTCTGAGTTAGGAAAAAATAGAGATATGTGCAGACGAGTCATGAGGGTGGTGCTCTAGCATGTCCTCCCAAATGAGAGACAGCGATAATGATGGCAGCGAAACAGAGATTTTAATGAAGGAGCTGGGCACTGGCTACCGATGGAGATGTACGTTCTTGTAAACATAGGCACACTGCAGATAAATGAGAAGATTTTACAGGTAACCAACATACCAACCCGAGTTTTATATTCTTATTCATTCAAAAATTTCTTACACAAGAATTGTGATGTGCCGGACTGAAAAAGGGACAGTTCATGAATCCGCATGATGGTAGAATGTCGCACAAGCTGAGCAATATAGTCGACAAGCAAAAGAAACGATGCGCGCGACTTTTGTGGATGGTGCTTGGAATCCCAATGTTCCTCGGACCAGGAGTCTAAACGAAGACAGGACAGAAGATGAAACCATTCAAGCACAAGAGAACCAGCTGAATATTCAGGGCCATTCGGGGAGGTACTAGAAGGAGGTCAAAAGTTCAAAGTTGGCGGTATCCCCAACTAATTTTGAAATTTTATAAAAACGGTCAGTGAAAAACATATACGGCATTCGGTGAACCACAGAAGCTGGCACTGGATGCGAGTAGCTTGAAGCTCCACGCAGCGAGTCAAAAATTGTTTTCCGCGGGAGCACTCAATTCCCTTCAACCGACTTGAACGGCTCTTCGAACTGATTAGTGATGCGCTCTACCAAATCAGCTACGAGGGAACAGCGATATGCTGAAATTAGAGTGATAGATAGAGCAGCGGTAGCCTGAGGAGAAAGCGAAAAATGGTTGACCGTCATATTGTTGTCACGGCACGAGCTAGAATCGAACAAGCACTATCTGCGCGCAATCCCAATGCGCCAGCATGCTGTGGGGTCACAGACGTAATGCAGTAAATCATCTGAGCAGCTGTGTATCAATAACGAATGGAAGGACGGTTGTTTTTTGGGTTGTGTCCGACAAAGAAACAAACAAGGGAGCGACGGCTCGTGTCAGAGTCAGCAGGCTGATATGTAAGCAACGAGAAGGAGGAGGGGAAGGCGAAGCGCGTATAGCCTATCCAAATGGGGACATAAAAGCAGGCGTGTAGACGCAGAAGCCTAAATTGATACCGAAGAAGACCATCAACAAGTTCGAGGCGCAGCGACCGATATGGCATCTAATCAGATTAGAGATCTGTAAGCGTTTGGCGGGGGGGGAAGAGCCCGCTGCAGCCACAAAACCAGGACGACGTCGAGCAGAAGAAACGATGCTCGCACCTCACAAGTGAAGTGCTGTGTGCTGCGCCCCGATATCTCCCATCCCGCGCACATCAATTGGGCGCCATAACGAGGGATCGAACGGTTTGCGGATCCCCTTCGAGTGAGACGAGCGCGCGAAAGAGGACACAGACTGAGAATTTCCCACGCAAGGCGGACCTAGGACTGAAGTACCTACCAGTCTTGATTTGATCGCAAAAAAACACGTGAATGTCCATCCGTGTTAATGATCCTTGCGACTAGTACTTGCTAAAAAAGCAATGTTACAAAACCAGTGACATTAGCTGGGATTGAACCAGCGAGGGTGTTACTCTCTAGCCTTGGGTGTTACACCATAATGCCTGTATGAGGGGTTGTGACTTCCTACATGTAATCAGGATGCATGGATTGGAGATGCTCACTGCAGCCTGGGGCGACGTGCTCTGCACCAATTCAATTTCAGTTTGCCCGCTCCTCCGAGTTGTGCATTGGAAAAGACTACACATCATCATTGGTCATCGCATCGGCTCAAATCGACTGAACTCTTCCGAGTCGACGCCATTGGGCAGGGTCCCTGAAGTGCTTTAAGGCCCAGCCCAAGGATTCAAATATCGTCGCTGCACTTGAAGAGAAGATGCACTCATCGGAGCCCGAGAAGGATATGAACTGGAAAGTCTCATACGGTGTACCATAACGCAGATACAGCTTGGCAGCAAAGAGGGTTTTCCCCCTCGGTTAGGGAGAGGAATAGGAAAGGGAATCAATAAATAGATTGTTGTTCAAGTTCGGTCCTGGCAATAAAAAATTATGGTGTACAATTGATCCAATGTCATCGAGCTGGAATTGAACCAGCAGGGAGGTTCCACTCGAACTGTTACCCCAATCATGGCTGGCAAGCACCAGCCTTTCCGATTTAATGTCGGTTTTCTTTAGGGTGTCGTGGGTCACTGTCAGCATAATCCCAATTCGAAAGAAGTGGACCAGCATCCTCAAGGAGAGACGTAAACAAAAATTTCAGCCATAGAAACTGACAGCTCAGTGAACACTAGGGTTGTGCACGAAACCCCCAGTTTTGATACACCCCAGTTTCGGACCGGTAATTTACCAGTAAGAAACCAGTAAGAAACCAGAGGTCAGTGGAGCATATTTCATTGAGGTAACTTACTGACCACATGACAGGGAGAAGGATTCTCAGACTTAGATGTGTATAAAGAAGTAAGAAGATGTAGCCAGAGAACTCTGATGGGTATTGGGACAGAATTCATGAGTATTTGAGGTACGACAATGGGGCAGCGTAGCGTCACGGCGTCGTACAGAAGAATTTGGAAAAATGGCTCCGCGGCAGTCACGTGACCTGTAAGAAACAGGTAAATTACCGTACCGGTAAGAAACCGTTCAGGGAGGGTGTATATAAAAGGGTATCAAATCCTCCCTGGAGGTTTCGTGCGCACACATTAGAAGAGCGATGCATAAATGTATACAGTCGGCGTGCAAGTCACCCCCACGGATACTATATATTCCCTCTAGCCGACTTGAACGACTGACCTCGTCATTAGGACTGAATTAGATGGAAAGCCAATACTAGTGACGCGCTCTACCAACTGAGCTAAGAGGGATTACATTCGTGGTGTAGGTAAGCGGCATATAAACATGCTGTCGTGGCAAGATTGCCGCATACTCGGTCTCCCAATGCGCCATAAGTGCGGAGGGATTCGGAGGAGTCGACTACGGGGAGAGATATGAAAGATGGACTGGTATAGAAAGGCCGTCGCTTCCTGCTTGAATAAACGAAAAGGAATCTATCTAGACTGTTCCCAGTATGTTCCTTAGCCGACACGCTGTCAGTAATGACTGAGCCAAGAGGGACCTGCTGGGATCAAAGCGCACTGCACTGAAAGTCGAGCAGCTGAGGATAAGAGAAAAACAAGCAAACGAACTGGCCAGGGTGGGTGGCTTGGCCAGGTTGTCGGTGGTCTCAAGTCTCGGGATGGATCACGAGGGCAATGTGCGCAGCAAGGGCTTCGGGTCGAGAAGGACGCGCTTTGAATGGGCGTAGGTAATGAGGTGTTATCAAATTCGACATCCGCGCTGAGACACGGCGACAAGTGGCCGACGAACGACGAGCAAGGGGGACGAGCAAGAGGGTAGTGTTCACGCTAGAAGGGGTCGACTTTGATAACGGATGACCAGAAACGGTGACAGAACCATCAAGAGACGAATGACATAACTCCTTGAAGCTGATCAAAACTTTTTCACGAAACTTCCTCTCCCACGTGGCTGTCCAAATAAAACCCTTGTCACTCCCACATTTTTTTTCCTTCCCTTTCCCAACCCTTCCTTCTTTCACGATGTTCTCCGCCTACGTCGCCCTCGCCGCGCTCCCTCTGACGCTCGTTCACGGACTCACCATCAGCAACCCGACAGAGACCGTCACCTCCACGGGCCCTATCACCATCTCGTGGCAGACGTCGTCCGGGGACCCGTCCGTGTTCTCCATCGAGCTCATCAACCAGTCCTTCAACAGCCAGTACGCCATCGCCAATAACGTCGATTCCAGCCTCGGTTCCCTCAGCCTCACCCTCCCCCAGATCCCCGCCGAGTGCGTCCCGCTGTCTTTCCCTTGTTTGTTTCACACACTAACGAACGAACGACTGGCAGAGATGGGTACACCATCGAGCTCGTGAATATCTCCAATATCAACGATATCTACGCTCAGACGGGCACGTTCGCCGTCTCGGAGCCGGTCAGCTCGTCAGGCTCGGCGTCGTCAACGGGGTCCGCGAGTGCGAGCGGTAGCGCAAGTGCCAGTGGCTCTGCCTCCGCGTCGTCTGGTTCCGCCTCCGCGTGAGTCTCCTCCTCTCTCACCCCTTCGCTCCCTAAGCGTGCTTCTAGGTCCGTATCTGGATCTGCCTCCGCCTCCGTATCCGGGTCCACCACCCGCGCGAGCTCCGCCTCTGCCTCGGCATCCGGCTCCTCCACCCGCGCGTCGTCCACCACGCCCTCCACCTCCTCAGCAGCATCCACCGCCTCCACCTCCGCATTCAACGCCGCATCGCGCGCGCACGTCGGAGGCGCTAGCATCCTCGCCGCCATCTTGGCATGGGTCGTCGCTATCTAAAAAGGACCTTTTTTTATTCTTGGACGAGACTGTTTTTTGGGGGGGCACATTCTATCTATTTACGAACGATTACGCACACTCATATTATACCCTCCTCCAAAATATTCTTTTCATTCTGATGGACTGTCTACTACGTACCGTCATTCTGTACCTACCGCCTGTCGTTGCTTGTCAATTATTACCCCTGCTCGGCTGTTGTGTTGTGCCATTATTGTGTTGTGTTGACAAGAGAATGTGTTATCTTCTATCAGATATGCAACTTGTTCGTTTCAAGCTCATTACTCAATGTATACGCACTTCTGCTAATCCCTCTTAGCTCAGTTGGTAGAGCGCGTCACTAGTATGAAATGAAATGAAAGGAAATACAGCATGACGAGGTCAGTCGTTCAAGTCGGCTAGAGGGAACATAATGGCTTTTATTCTGTTTTTGGCATTTCCGCAGCCAATCAGGATTCAGGATTCAGGATTCGCTGTACGATTATAGTACTCCCAAGTCTTTGTGAGATTGTTTTTATTTTTATCTGCCAAACCTTCCATGTTTTCGGCATGCATTAGAACTTCAGCATTGAATGGTCTTCCTACCTTTCATCTTTCTTATACGTAAAGGCATCCGCGTTGCCAGGCGCCCCTGGACCTGTTTGACGCTTCTGACTCAAATACAGACAAGTGCGTCTACCTTCTATTCTAACCTTATGCAATACTCCCGCAGTCTAGTATGGCTATTCCCCTGCGGGATCGGGCTCTGATCCCGCACTTTTATGCCAACAGCGCATCCCTCCGAGTCTTTCAGGGCGAGTATCTTGTTCTACTCGGAATGTTGGTTGTCCCCATTTCCCCATTAAGATGAGCTGTGCAAAGTATACACTGAGGGAACCGCTACGGAGTAAATCTATCAACTCCGTTCTATTCAATCTTTGACCGTCCCATCAGTTTCCCGTTAAGATGAGCTGTGCAAAGTACACCCTGAGGCCACGGCTACGGAGTAAAACCATCAAATCTGTTCTATTCAATCGTCGTCCGTCCTGTCCAATTTCCTATTAAGATGAGCTGTGCAAAGTACACCCTGCCCTGAGAGAGCTGCTACTGAGGAAATCCATCAAATCCGTTCTATCCAATCTTCGTCCGTCCCATCCCATTTCCCCATTAAAGCGAGATGTGCCGTGCAAAATACACTCTGTTACCTAAGGAAGCCCGAGGCTACTCAAGAAATTCATCAAATCCTGTTAGAGTTAGAACAGCTCAGTCAGTCACGTAGTCGTTGTGAACAGCTGAGGTGCGGTAAGGGAAAAATAGATAGATATAGGCAAAAGGGTAGAGGGGAATAATCTAAATATAGTAAGTTCATTCAAATATATGTAAAAGATGGAAAGGCGGGACATGCAGCCTCGGGCTTCCTTAGGTAATAGGGTGTATTTTGCACGGCACATCTCGCTTTAATGGGGAAACGGGATGGGACGGACGATGATTGGATAGACCGGATTTGCCGGATATTCAGCCTATGCCGACTCAAGAAATTCACCAAACCCTTCTATTTATAACCCGACAGTCCACCTCGAATATATCCCCATTGGAGACCTGGCTGCGTGGGAGGAAGAGTTAAATAACGCGAGAGGAGCATACCACACCAACCTGGAAATGGCCTCCTACACATCAGAATTCTCACTTCAGAACCGCGGTGCAATGCTGAAAGCGACATCCTTTGAATCGCTACTCTATGGTGCCCTCCTCCTTCTCCGAAACTGTGTCGGTGATTACTCATATCATATTCTGTTCAGCGACACACGCTGCTTTGGTGGTTGGCACGGTCTGGAGAGTCGGTGCGTCTTCTGTCTTAATGCTTTGTCCACTTACACCAGACTAATGCCAGTCTCAGTCGTCCGTGATCAAGGAAGGATTCGTTTCATTCAGTGCGGACTGGTTGTCGTGATGTACCTCATTGCGACATCCCCTCTGGCCCTTCGGTGGAAATTTGTTCAAGGCATCACCGACGACGAAACACAGCAAGTCACATACATCTATTCTCATGGATGGATCCTCTTGGGCTCGATGTCCTTCGCAGTAGTGATTTTGATTACGGCGTGCATTGTGGTGAGCAGATATCAATACACTTGCCTGTCGGAAGGAGCTGATGCATACTTTGGTATAGATCTGGTTATGCTGGCTCTTCTCTGGTCAGAGGCTAATGTTTGCCATCATTCCAGGACTATGTGTCATCATCGGAACGAGTTCAGCTCTTTTATTGTTATCCTCAAACATTTAGAACTGACATTCAACCTAGTTTTTGCAAGTGTTGGACTCCATCAGATGATCGTTACGCCCCCATTCGGCAATGCATGTGAGGCCCAAATCGATTGGATGCTCCCATACTTCTCTATGATGCTTGCCGTAACACTGTCATGCACGCTGGTCTCCCTATATTACATCTCAATGGGTGCGCGCATTTGGGGAAGAACCCTCTGGCTCTGGATCAATGTCATCATTCAGTCCTTATTGTTATTTGCTGCGGCGCCGGTTGCTTACATCTTGAGTGACATGCCTATAGCCTGCCCACTACTTGGTATGACCATGATTACAGTGAGTTACAGCTCGAAGCGTTCTTTCCCAGGTGCTCATATGTCATCGTCAGAGCTTGGCACCTATTCTGGCTATCGCCCAGGTACCAAGCGATAGCGTGACGCCGACGGTGTTGCCTACACATGTTGAACTCCATAGGCTGGGTACACAGGGCAATGCGGGAAGTATATCTCGTGAAAATTGAGAGGACTGAATCGTTTGATCTCAGCTAGCTGCGAGCTCAAAGAGGTTATGTTTCTAGTATCGATATTTTAATAAGTACCCTCACCGTCCGAGACGTGTTCCTCCAGCTTTCTATGTGTTACCATGATTGGGACTTTTCACCTGCACACTTAACACACCACCACATATTACTGATAATCACTGATAATTTGACTTTATTTTACTGTTTAAACTAGTTGGATTTGTATCGCTGGTTACATATTCTATAGATTGCGCAATGATGGTTTTCCTCAAGAAGAAAAACAGACGATTATAAAGACCATTAATATATTCTAGGTAAAGTGTAGAGAACTTGAAACCGGACTTGCTAAGCCCCCAGTAATGGACGCGACTTGGACAGTGACGCAGCGCGATCTTATCACGTGTATAGTTTCGGGCAGGTTCTGTCAATTTGAATTTGAAATCGAAGTCTACGGTACTGTTAAATTGCTGTTACGTTGAAAGCTCATGTCACCTATCGCTGCTCTTGCGTTTCCAAGTTCCTTTTTGGATACACTCTGCCTCTTTATCAGGCACATTTACCTACTCGTTTCTACCTCTGCTCCTTGAACGTGGCGCTGCATCTCGACTCTCGATGAAACTGTGTACTCTTCTCGAGCCGGCCAACCTTCCAAGACTGACCATATCCGTAAAGCCTCTAGAGCTTGTTCAGCTACAGCGACTGCAATAGCAAAGTCGGGCGAAGCTTTTTTGTCAACATCTATACTTTTCCTCTTTTACCGACACCACCGAGGTGCGGGCTTTTTCCCGCATGATATAAGAGTTCTGATTTCGCGTCTGCAGAGCGTAAGCATGCGTATTTTCAGTCCTTTTCCCCCTGCATATCCATCCTAGATGCCCAACCGCTGCTCGTAGAGAGCCCCAGTAACATCAATGTCGATGAAAGCTTTGATGACGAGGTCGGTCCGAATTCAAGTTGACTAGAGGGAACTGCCCCACGTGTTCTCTGGCTTTTTCTCTTTCGAGACCTTCAACCATAGTTGAGACTCGTGTGGTAGCCCCATAACTGCGCTCTTCTCTTACTTGTAAGCTAGACAGATTTCTGTTCCGTTGGCACTGTGATCATTGATTGATCAGATCGTATGCCAACCGCAAGCGGCAGGACATGCTTACTCTTGGCCTGCGTCTTGTTCTTGTGTCGCGCCGCAGACGAGTCGTTAATTGCTCGTTTCACGTTCCGAAGGAGACCGAGTCCATCTTCTCTGACAAGACAATCGCATGCATTCGCCCGCTATTGAGGCGGTGGCCGAAGTGACCCCGTATGCTTCCTAAGCCCTTATCATTCAGATGGAAAGCTCATCTAGCTTAGTTCAATTGTCATAGGGAGCCGAATTTGAATTCCTGACATCCAAAGACCAAGCTGCATTCCCACGTCAAGGGTCGATGGCAAAACTTTATCGTTGATGAAGAACTGAACCCTTACAACGAAAAAAGAAACGTATTTTGTTTTGGAGAAATGTTTGCGAGTGACGTATTTAATCATCTTTGTAGATTTAGTGGGTGACCTTGTCCTTCCGGTATCCTTTGACTCTGCGTGAAACTCGTGCAAGATCTGTAGTGTAGCATGGATGCGTCGCAGATACTATTGCTAGATCGGAACGTCCTCGTTCGATCCAACGGCCTGCTGTTACATTCCCGTTACAAAGTCAGCTTTGGGCGACAGGTGAGAATTTGTATAATAGCTATAAACTGATCGCGAGAGACATGCCTTTGGAGCTGTTCGTTCCAATACGGGCCAGCGGTTGATGCCTATTATGTCGCTGCTGTGTTTTTGGGAGATCGCCTCGCCGTCTTCCCAGTCTCTTCTTTGCATAGGAGCCTTGAACATGATTTCTGACCAGGGGTATTTAACACCCTCTTATCCTCCTAATATAGACATTGCGTATTTAAAGCTGTTCACTGGTAGCAACTCTTGCACTCTCCCGTGAGACTCGTACATTGAATAGTAATCCTTTTGACTTGGATTAGTAACACCCGGTACTACAAAGCAGACGATGTATCTACTAAATGATTTCGCGACCAGTACACGCCCTGCCCTAACTTCGGAAGGGGAAACAAAAGAGGGAGAAACGTAACGGTGAGGTGCCTATGCAATCTACTATCTTACAAGTCGTCTTTGATTTCACATGTATTACGCTACGTTGTCCTGAACTTCAAAAGGGACCAATGGCGGAGCTTCCTGCATTGTCACATCGCTGGGTACTCGAGCGATGACCAAGATAGGCGCCAAACCCTGACAATGTCACATTAGCGCCTAGGGGAGAAGGCATCGAGCTGAAGCTCACGGTACACATGGTCACGTCAAGTACTGGACAACTCGCACGTATGCCGCTCTTGATGTAAAGAACCAACAAAATCACTGGCCCCGTAGCGAAAAATAATGACCCCTCAATGATGGTCTTGATCCAGAACTGGCGGATTCTCCCCCCACTGCGGTGATCCATTACGATTCGATATATGATGACTAGCGTGCACAGCATTGTTACGGCAAGCGACAGAGAGTAGTAAGGGAGCATCCAATCAACCTGGGCCACACATGCGTTTCCTGGGGGCGGCGAAGTGGTCATCCCATATAGACCAAAACCTGCGAAAACTGGGTTGGACGTTAC